GATACACCGCAATGCCTGCACTCAGGACCTTCCCAGACCTCACTCTGTCTATCTCTTCATCTTCCACATTCTTTATCATATCCTTTCTCTTAAGAACATCACAGTCTAGTGGAAGACAGAAACGTGTTAATCAGCAATTACGGCATGATAAATAGCCTGAAAGATATGACAAACACTGAGCTTCTATAGTTATCAGACCTCAAAATATATCTCTTCTGCCATAATACCTTTCTTTCACGTTATTTTCTATTTTCCAGGACCTTGACAATACACTGAGAGCTTACTGACTACAGTCATAATAACATTTGAAGCACACGATTCAATTCAATTCAACAAATAATTACTGAGTACTTGTTCTATGCCAGGCATTGGTCTAGGTTTTATGGGGAAAACAAAAAAAAAAAATGAAGGGTAACAGTTAATCTTCATGCAGCTTTCTGAGTCCCTAAAGTGCACAAAGCGTGCTAAAGTTAGATGGGCAAGAGAGTCATTCTTTTCTTTAGATTCCCCACTGTGAATGGGAGATTTTATTTTTTTTAAATGGCAAAACTTTTCCTGTTACAGAAAAAGACTAATTAATAAATGTGGCAAGGATGCTAAATTAGGAATTTACCATTTTTCAAGCTCCAGTATAATCACTGATTGAGGCAAGGGTCACAAGTTGATGTTAAAATTACACCTACTTGAGTGGCTAAGATGCAGACACTGACAACACTCAGTACTGACAAAGATGAGGAGCAACAGGAATTCTTATTCATTGCTGATGGGGATGCAAAATGGTATAATCCTGCAGTTTCTCACAAAACTGAACATACTTTTACCATACAATCCAGCAATCACACTGCTTGGTATTTACCCACAGGAGCTGAAAGTTTATGTCCACAGAAAAACTTTCACATAGATGTTTTTAGCAGCATCACTCATATTTGACAACTAAGGTGCAACTCAGGTGTCCTTCAATGGGTAAATGGATAAATAAACTGTGGTATACCCAGATGATGGAATATTATTCTGCAATAAAAAGAAATGGGAAAAGAATTTGAAAAAGAATAGATACATGTCTATGTATAACTTAATCACTTTGCTGTATACCTGAAACTGACACAATATCATTAATCAACTATGCTCCATCATAAAATTTAAAACTTTAAATAAAATAATCATAAAAATGAAATGAGCTCTCAAGACACACACACACAGAGAGAGAGAAAACTCAAATGCAAACTACTAAGTAAAAGAAGTTAATCTGAAAAGACTACAGACTGCATGATTCCGACTATATGACATTTTGGAAAAGGCAAAACCATGAATACAATGAAAAGATCAGGGGTTGGAGAAGAGAGGGATGAATACAGAGGACTTTTAGGACAGTAAAACTGCTCCAAATGGTACTGTAATAGTGGATATATGTCACTATACATCCGTCAAAACCCAAGAATAGAATGAACCCTAAGGTAAATTATGGACTTGGGATGATGGTGATGTGCCAATATAGGCTCATCAATTGTAACCGACGAATAACCTAGTGCAGGTGTTGATAGTGATAGGGAAAGGAGTATATGGAAATTTTCTGTGTTTTCTTCTCAATTTTTCTATTACCCAAAAACTGCTCTAAAAAATAAAATCTACATATTTTTAAAATCATTAAGTGAAAGATTGTTGGGAGCAATATAGTCCCGGGGTGACCAGGTGCCCCACCTAGACCAGTAGGAATTGTAAAGGGGAAAGGTGCCTTTTCCGTGGAGAAAGCTTGTGGGTACACCCTCTCCAAGGGACCAAATTTAGCACCTCTGGTGGTGAAACGGTCTGACACTAGACATTATGCCAGTTGCAGTAGGATGTGCTCAACAGTAGGTATGATATTTCCTTACCAAAAATATTTAAACTGTATATAATCAAGGCTCTAAATCTAACTGGATGGCATCTCTGACATGAGTTTAAGTAAGCTCCGGGAGTTGGTGATGGACAGGGAAGCCTGGCTTGCTGCAGTCCACGGGGTCACAAAGAGTCATCCATGACTGAGTGACTGAACTGAGCTGAAATCTAACTTAAAATCTGCAAAGGGACTTCCCTGGCAGTCTAGTGGTTAAGACTTCGGCTTTCAACACAGGGGATGTGGGTTCGATCCTCGGTCAGGGAGCTCAGATCCCACATGACTCACAGCCAAATAAACCAAAACATAAAGCAGAAGCAATATTGTAATTAATTCAATAAAGACTTTGAAATGGTCCACATCAAAAATCTTTTTTAAAAAATAAAATTTGAAAAAAAAAAAAAAAACAGAGAATGGAAGTCAAGTTAAATGACACCAAGAGAAAAGACAGACAAATAGGGGATTACAGGACCTTCTAGAAAACATGACAATGCATGACATTTAATTGGATCTCTGGGAGGAGGAAATGTCAACCCACTCCAGCATTCTTGCCTGGAGAATTCCATGGAAAGAGGAACTTGGTGAGCTACGGGGTTGCAGAGATTCAGATATGACTGAGCAACTAGACACTGGGACAAGTGAGGAAATTTAAATATAGATCAGTGCTAGATGATGCTTAGAATTAACATTAATCTCATGAGGTGTGATCATTTTACTGTGGTTTCACATAATAACTTCCTCTTCAAGGGATGAGTGCAAGATACTTGTAGTGAATGTCTACAATGTACCTTGAAAGAGCTCACTTACAGAGTGAAAGAAATAAAAAGTAAATATGGGAAAATGTTTAAATTGTTTACATGTAAGTTCTTGGAACACTTATGTACTATTCAAGTTTTATGTGTGTTGAAAAACTGTTCATTATAAAAATTGAGGGAAGACTTCCCTGGTAGTCCAGAGGTTGGGGATCCACCTGCCAATGCAGGGGACATGGGTTCAGTTCCTGGACTGAGAAGACCCTAGGTTCTGCAGGTCAACTAAGCCTCTTCACCACAACTACTGAGGCCTCAAGCCTTAAAGCCTGTGCTCCACAAGAAAGACACTACAATGAGAAACCCAGACACCACAACGAACAGTAGTCCCTGCTCACCGCAACTAGAGAAAGCCTGAGCACAGCAACAAAGATCCAGTGAAGCCAAAAATGAATACATTTGCATCCGTGACTGACTTGCGTAGATGTATGGAATAAACCATCACAACATTGTAAAGCAATTAGCCTCCAATTGAAATAAACAAATTAATTTTTTTAAAAAAGAAACAAACAAACAAAATTAGGGGAAATGATGTATCCTGATCATCAACATGCTGAGATGAGCCAACTACTGTTTCCTAGTTTTTCCTAACTGACCTAGAAGTAAAATTTCAGGACACCCTCGTAAGGGCTTATGTCTGCAAGTCACCTTAGATGTATGCCTTCACAGGACTTACACCTTGACTCCAGCCCACTGTGGGATTTGAAAGTTTAGGATGTAGGTTGCCCACTGTCGGTAATGTACACACGGGTGAAGCACAGGCTCCATTATCTGACAGCCATAGAGACCACAGAAGGTGTGGGAAGACATGAAAACACAAAGAACAGCTTGAAGCTGTTGACCTGAGCTCTGTTGCTTCATCCTGTGTAAGCAGGACTCCACTGGAATGCAGTATTTCTGCAGAAATGACCTGGGAGCAAATGTTCATACCTGTTGCTCAGAGCCAGCTTCTCTGGGCATAATTTATTTCACCCCCCACCCAACTCCAATTAGGGGCTGGAGGTTGTCTGTCATCCCCAGGGTCTGTTCGATCTTTTCTGGTTTTGCTTACTTTGGGTGGCATAATGGAAGAGGTAGTGAAAGGATGTGGGAGAAAGCCAAGAAGGAGCCTAAGAAAGATGCCTGGAGCACTGCTGTGCACACCTGTGAGTGCATGAATTTCACCTTGCGACAGGGTGCCTTAGTAAGCAACAGCTGACACCAAGATTGCAACTTAGCTTAACTTAGCACAGACCTGGCTCCCACGCCCGCCTCAGCAGTGTCAAAGTGGAGGCACATCAACAGCACAGAAAATCTTTTCATTCTGCCTCAGTGGGCCTCCTTATGGATGCCCAGCTGCAGACTTACTGTCATCACCCAAGAGTTGTGGGTGCAAGTGATAAAAATCAGTATTTGCACGACACTTTCACAGTTTACAGAATGCTTTGTTATATGTGCTCCTTCAATATTTTTTAACATTTTGAGAGTCAGCTATTTCTACAAATACATCTTTCATGCTCTCAGCCAACACTCTAATGCCAAGGGCTCAGGAGGGTCTGAAAAATGAAAGAAGATCCTTGTGACTCCAAGTCCAGTTTACTGAACAAACTATATGCATGCAGTCAAAGGAGCACACATCCTGCGCTCAAATTCCACTTCAACTCATACAATGTGTGCCCCCGAGTGCTGTCACTACCTGAGTCACATACTCACCCACAGGACCATTTTGGGACTTACATAAAACAAAGTATTGGAAAGATGTGATGTAGTTTAAACTTGATAAGTGTTTGCTCATTATAACGCTTCATGATTTTTTTTTTCTAACTACCTGGTTGCCATGACTGCCCATGCACCACCTGGGAGTAATCATTTTTCTCACCAGTACTTCCTACATCCAGAAGGAAGAATATACTTTACCTGTACTTATTCCCTTTGTTGCATATTCGAAAGCTTTCTGCAGCTGCAGAGTGCAGTCTGTTAGTTAGTTCAAGAAACATTTAAACAATGAATGATTGGAAAAACATCAAAACTCCTGTCCTCAGAATGGTCCCCAAGTGTAACAATTAGCTTTCAGAGAAAGCTACTTGAACTTCAAGATAAACCATCTACTTTGAGGATAAACTTCCTTCCACAGAAAAAGGATGAGGAGAGTTGAAATCTTGTTCTCCATGCAAGAATTCTGTGATGCAGAGCCCCAGCCCTGCTCCATTTGTGTTTATTTATAATAGATGATAAGATACAGTTGCCTCTAATGATTGTGACATACTACATGTTGTCAGGGTTGCACCTGAGCCGAAGTCTATATAAGTTTGGCAAGGCAAGAATTTTCCATAGCTTGATCTCTTTCCTGAATGAACACTTGAAATCTCCATGAACTCTTGGTGAACATCAAGGTAAGCAGAACTCCACATTTTTCCAAGGATGATGACTTTAGGGATATAAGTTAATATTCTTAATAAATCCAAATTGCTAACAGAAAAGACCTAGAATGCCTTTTCTCTTGCTCTGTCTGAAAGGCAGACTTCAAATTTGCACTTGAGCAGAGCTCAAATGCAAATGCTTCTGCCCATTTTCTTATCTTCTACTGAAAACCACATTCCCTGTCCCCAACCCTGGGACCAAGCTTTGTCTGCAGCAATTTCACTCTGCAACCCTGTGTTTCTTCGTCATCTCCCAGAACTGGACTCCCTGCTTCTCAGGTCCAGGGATCACAACTTAGCATCTTTAAAACTCAATGCCTAAAAAAAACACATGAAAAGATGCTCAACATCACTCATTATCAGAGAAATGCAAATCAAAACCACAGTGAGGTACCATTATACGCCAGTCAGGATGGCTGCTATCCAAAAGTCTACAAGCAATAAATGCTGGAGAGGGTGTGGAGAAAAGGGAACCCTCTTACACTGTTGGTGGGAATGCAAA